TTATAAATGTTCATAAATTTTGGATAGCACATGGCCATAGAAGTGCTAAGCGTGTATGAGTCGAAAGCAAGAACTAAAAGTTTATGTGTATAGTGTCACCGATGTTATCACAAGGAATAACATGTTCAAAGCTATTATGCTACATGGGATTTTGATTTCATCTTGTGATATTATTATACTAAGGTGATATTCAAATCGAAAGATACATTACTCTATGCATAGACATAACTTGATTTGAGTCATTATTTATTTTTAAATAAGTAGAGATTTATTAGAAAATTATTGTTTAAATATAATTAATATTTTAAAAGTTCAAAAGTTTAAATGAAAGGGCGTGCTTTTGCTTGAATGGATATGTTCGTTCCTTTTGTAACTGTTTTGTCTCTATAAAAAAACTGGGTTTCTCTTTCAAAGTCAAATTGAATTCTAAAACGTTACTTTACAGAGAGTTCTTTTACAACCTTCTGTAAAACACTTTTCCTTCTCCAACTTCCTATTATAATGATCGAGTTCTATTGTACTTGCTTTCCAATAGAATTTCTCCACTGTTTGCTTAGTGTAGAAATTCATAAGCTTGTCATATAATCTCATAGCAATCTCGCAGAGGAGAGGGTGCAAATATCGCTTTTAGGAAAGCATTTCATACGTGTTTCAAGCCTTCTAATCTGTGGCCGTTATTCATATTTTATACCAGATATTTGGTGTTTGAACTTGGATTTTGCAGTCCTCAACTTCGGGCCTTTTGGGCTAGAAGTTTTCAAACTTTAAAATACACACAACTTGAGAAGAGAATTTCTCTAGCCCCAAGTTCAAGAAACACAGCAAGATCAATATCCTTAATACTGCTATTATTATGGCCTGAATTACAGATGAAAATAGGCTCTACTCTGAGACATTCCCTCTTCTTCTCTGTCTTTTTCAAGAGGCAGATTCTAATATTTTTCTCTCTTGTTTTAATTTTGGAAAAAAAATATGTGTGTTTGAGATTGTGTACATCTATGTATATCTGTGTGTACATTATATTATATATCGTGATATACATTATTAGATTTAACACTATAAGGTTAAATGGAAATAAAATCGTCCAATTTGATTTTAAGAGGGCGAAATTCATTCGGAATAAACTTACTTCAATCTTGTGCTTGATCAAAGAAGTAAAATAAATTTCTGATGTAATATCTTTAGAGCAATTTGTGGAAGTAAATAATTTTTTGATATACATTTTGATATACAAAGAAGGAAAATAAATTTTTGATATACACAAAGAAGGAAAATAAACTTGTGATATCCATTTCGGTATACACGTATTTGATGTGTTATACACTATGATATATAAATAATACAATTATTTTTATTATGATATACACTGATATAGAGACAACAATAAATTTAAACAACTATATTTATAATTTTATTTTTTAGATGAATAAAAAATAAAAATAAAATTTTAATATACATTGTGTAACGATCCGATCGGTCGTTTTGAGCATTTGCACTTCGCTCGGTTGTTTGAGGGTATGAGTAGCCCCGTATGATGTATTATGACTTACGCAAATCATCGGTTTTGGTTTTTAGGCTAATCGGAAGAGATATGGAAGAATGATTCTCAGCTTGAAGCTTTAAATTTGAAAGGCTTGACCAAGTTTTGACTTTTTAGTGTTCGATCTTGGATTTGGATATTTATGATTTGGTTAGCTCCGTTAGGTGATTTTGGACTTAGGAGCGTGTTCGGAATGTAATTTGGAGGTCCGTGGTAGAATAAGGCTTGAATTGGCGAAATTGGAAATTTGGCGTTTCTCGGTCGGCGGTGGAAATTTTGATACCGGGGCCGGAATGAAATTCTGGAAATTGGAGTGAGTCCGTAGTGTCATTTGTGACGTGTGTGCAAAATTTCAGGTCATTCGGACGAGGTTTGATAGGTTTCGGCATCGTTTGGGGAATTCGGAAGTTTAGGAGCTCTTAGGCTTGAATCCGAGGGTGATTTCGTGTTTCGATGTTGTTTGGAGTGTTCCGAAGGTTTGAATAAGTTTTAATAGTGAAATATGACTTGTTGGTATTTTTGATTGAGGTCCTGAGGGCCTCGGGATGATTTCGGAAAGGTTGGAAATTGGTTTGAGCAGCTGAAGCTGTTGTTTCTATCATTTCCGCACCTACGGATTGGGGACCGCAGGTGCGAGGTGCGTAGAAGCGGAGAAGGATCGCAGGAGCGGAAGTTGGACCGCATCTACGAGCCCGCAGGTGCATGATTTTGCTCGCAGATATGGAAATGCTGGGCACAATGTATATAAAGGATCCTTCACGAATTTTTGGTCATTCTTCACCATTTTTGGCCGGGATTTGAGCTTTGGGCAGTGATTTTCAAGAGGAAACAAGGATTATCAATGGGGTAAGTTACTTAAGCTTTATTACTTGTGTTTATTATGATTTTCTCATTGTTTAATCATGGTATTAGTGGGAATTAGGGGTAAAATTGAGCGGTTTAGGGCATGAGTTTTGGAGAATTTTGACTGAGGATTTGAAGGACCATTTGAGGTCGGATTTTGATGATTTTGGTATGTATAGACTCGGGAGTGAAAGGAGTTCCTAGTTTCATAGTTCTTACCGGATTCTGAGACATGGGCACGGGGGCCGGGTTTGAGCAAATTCGACATTTTGGGTCTAATTTGATAATTTTCGTGTGGGTTTCATTCCTTTAGCGTATATTGAGGTTAATATACTGATTTTGGTTAGATTCAGAGCATTTGGAGGCCGAATCGAGAGGCAAGGGCATCGCAGGTTAGAGTTTTAGCTTAGTTTGAGGTAAGTAACGCTTCCAAACTTGGTTTTGAAGGTTTGAAACCCCGAACGTTGTGCTATATAATTCGTATTGAGGTGACGCAAATGCCAAGTGACGGGCGTGTGAGCGTGCACCGTGAGAATTGGGGCCTAGATCATTCCATGGCACCGCTTAGTGACTCTTCTTGCTGATATCTATGTTGTGATGATGTGATTAGGTAAAAGAAATTGTAAATCATGCTAATTATCATGTTAGGGCTTCACGCCAATACTGTTGAGGCCTGAGTGGTCGTTTCTTGCTGTCATCTCATTAGTTTCATTGATACTCTGTACTCAGTCTTGTTCATGCATATCATATTATGTCTCAGTCTCAGTTGTTATTATTTGGCACATCATATCATTGTTTCGGGCTAGTATTATGGCATTTTGAGCCTGTGTGCGTGTGAGACTGGAGAGTGATGACTGAGTGAGCCCGAGAGCCTGGTTATGAGTGACAGTTATGGGATCGGGCTGCACGCTGCAATAGATTATTGATTATGCCTTCGTTGGCTTGTTATAGCGCTTGGGCTGAAAGGAGCCCCTCCGAAGTCTATACACCCCCAGTGATCACGGATGATATTATTGAGGGATGGATTTTCCTGGATATGGATTTGTCCGAATTATTGATATATGGAGATGGATTTCTCCATAGGGATGGATTTCCCTTTTTCCTCGATACCGAGTGATGTCTAGTCACTGTTGAGTATGTTCCGGGATAGATTTCCTTGGGCCTTGTGAGCCATATACAGTACCGAGTAGTTGTGAGCTTGTTATTATTATTATCTGGAGATGGATCTTCTCCATAGGCTGGATTGGCCTTCCCCAGTACTGAGTGACTGCTTTCAGAGATGTATATATTCCGGGATGGATCTTCCCTGGGCCGTATGAGCCATATACAGTACTAAGTGGACGATCATTTGAGATTGTGGGCACATGAGGCATTCAACATGGTGCATTTTGTATAGCATGTGCATTGGCATGTAAGTGTAGCAGAGTTATACTTCCCTCACTTGCTCATACTGTTCGAGCTGTTTATTTAACTGAAAGCGTGCCTACGTTTCTGTACATTAATTCTGTTATCTTTGATGAGGTTGAGTTCGTCACTACCTATCAGTCCGTAGGTTGGACTTGTTACTTATGAGTTGGTGTACTCACGTTACCCCCTACACCTCGTGTGCAGATCCAGGTACTTTCGGTCCTAGTGGAAGTCACTGATCGAGATTTGCAGGCTTGGGAGATTGTTAAGGTATCTTCACGGTGGTCGCAGATCTTGACCCTCCCTCTCTATTCTAGCTGGGTTTCAGTTGTATTCAGTGAACCTTGTAGTAGACTATACTATTTCTCTAGACGCTCATGTACTCCGTGACACCCTGGTTTTGGGATAGTTGTATTGTAATATGAATATTTCTTTTATGTCTTAGACTATTTATTTAAAATAATGAAAGTTTTTCCGCAAATGATTTGATTTTAGTATTGTGGTTTTGGGTTGTGTTGAGTTGAGGCTGGCCTAGTTCCAAGATAGGCGCCATCACGGCCGGGTTGAGTTTGGGATCGTGACATTTTGATTTATACACAAAGAAGTAAAAATAAAGTTGTGATATACACGTTTTTGTAGTGATATACATTTATTGGCTACCTAGTGCTCATATTTATAAGTACGGGTTTTTCTGCTAATTATATGGGTATATTGTGATACCATGCCAAAACCCCTTAAAATATTGTGCTAGCACGGGCCAACTTTTACTAGTATAATAACTAAGAGGAATCTGAAAATAACACGTGGTTTATCCAGATATATTTTTACATTTCTATATATTAAAAAAGGTCTTAAAATGACATTGCACGTGCAAAAACAATTTTATGTAATCCAAGAAAAAAGGTAAAAAGGAATAGACAAATCACAGTTTGTTTTGTTAACTGGACACTTTTATATATATATATATATATATATATATATATATATATATATATATATATATATATATATATATATATATATATACACACACATCATTATAGGGGAAGAATGAGGTCCCCTGGGGATTGTTATCAATGTCTACCATTGTGTTAATATAAACCAAAAAAGTATCATTTACAGATTCCAGGAAAAAGCCGACCTCTTACACTCATAATTACATCTGATAGTCCCTAGCTTAGCTATACTAATATAATGTTCAGCTATCTCACTAAGGGTATGAACTCAGAAGACTCAAAGGCTTGCGCCATTTCCTAAGGTTTTGTCCTCTAATGTGAATATGTATTGCTATTTCTCTACTGACTCTATCTTCATCATAGGTGCTTTTTTGGAACCTTAGTAGATTCCTCTCCCTCCATATGACATAGACTGCCATTGCATATGTACAGCTGGTGATAGCTCCCAGTCCATTCTTCCTCTTTGCCATACTGCATGCCCATTTCATTTCATGTTTGGCATCTCCTCTGATCCTGATATGCCCAAGACAGGTCAGTAATCTCAGCCACAATGCACCTGTAACTTGGCATTCAAAGAATAGATGTGCATGAGTTTCAATGACACTATGAAAGAATACACAAGCCATAGGAGCTTGTATGCCTATCATCTGCAGTCGATCCACAGTTGCCAGCCTGTTTTGCATTGCTAGCCATAGCATAAATTTCACTCGTGGATGTATGTTTTGCTGCAGTGTAAGGCTTTGCCAAGGGACTTTAGGGTGCTGAGGTATCACGTGTAGGTACATCTTTCTAATAGAGAAGGAGCCATCCATGTTCTGCATTGTTCCTAACTTTGCAAGTATGTCACCTTGTACCATAACCTGTTGTATAACCATATCTCAAGCTTCCATAATCTTCCTAACTACCCAAGCTGATGTCTTAGGTATAGGGCATGAGTCAAGAGCTTGATTCTTGATGTAGTAGCTGTGTACCCATTTTATCCAGAGGCAGTCCTTTTTCTGTGCAATTGACCGTAACTGCTTTATGATTGCAGCCTTGTTCCATATACATAGATTCAGTATATTCAATCCTCTAGCTGCTTAAGGTAAGCACACTTTGTCCCAAGACACAAGTGCTTTCTTTGATAGATTTATCATTCCAGCCCATAAGAAGGTCCTACATAGAGTTTTAACAGCTTTCATTATCTTCTTTGGTAGCACAAATATATGTTCCCAATAAGAGAGGAGTTTGGCAGACTTTGTATTAATACAAAGTCTGTGCCCAATAATATTTTTATTCCAAATATTACAGACTTTATCAACTGAAGTCTACCTGCATAAGAGAGGAGTTTAGTAGACCAACACTTCATCCTAGCAATATCTTTTCAATAAGAGGCAGAAATTGAACCACTGAGAGTTTTTTAGATGACAATGGAACCCCCAAATATTTGAAAGGTAAATCACACAAGGAGTAACTCAAGAGCTGCACTATGTCTTGTTTACTATCCTCTGTCACACTAGCTATGTAAATGGAGCTTCTGGTAGCATTAGCCTGTAGACCTGAAGCTTGTGAGAATGCTTGGAAAGAACTGTTCAATAGCCTAACAGACTCCTTATTTGCTCTACAGAACATAAGCAAGACATCAGCAAAACAAATATGAGTGACTGCAAGTTTCCTACACTTTGAGTGAAAATTAAAATCACCATTTGTGATCAATTGATCCATCTCTCTTTGCAAATATTCCATAGCTATAACAAATAGAACGGGGGCATAGGGTCCCCTTGTCTGATTCCTCTTTGCCCAGGAAAAGTCTTGGTGACCCCTCCATTGATGACCAAATAGTAGGGAAAGAGTAGTTATACATTCCATGACCCATTGCACAAATTTGTGGGGAAAGCCAAGATCGACTATGACTCTTCTGATAAAGCTCCATTCCAATGTGTCCTATGCTTTCCTTTTTAGTACATTGGGATTGGCTGACGATATCACCAACAACCTTACTGAATATTCTAGTTAGAATTTTGGCTATGATCTTGTACAGGGTGGTACAACAGGCAATTGGCCTATAGTCCTTTACCTGAGTTGGTGAACGAACTTTAGGCACCGGTGTAATTGGCATACAATTTATAACATGCAACATTCTGCCAGTTTTCAAGAAGTAGTGTACATCTGCATAGACATCGTCTCTGACCAGCTCCCACTGCTTGAGAAAGAATTCAATAGGATAGCTATCTACTCCGGGTGATTTGTCCAGAGGCATTTCTTTTATGGCTTCCAGAATTTCATCATTTGTTACCTCTTGCACTAGTTGACATTGTTGTTCATAGTTCAGACATTTGCCCTTTTTTATTACCTCTGCATTTGGACAAGGTAGTTCCGAGGCTCTCTCCCTCATAAGCCCAGTGAAGAAGGATATAAATTCCTTTTCTACCAATTTGGGGTCTGTGAGTTTTATACCACACTTAGTATAAATTGAACTGATAGTGTTCCTGGAAGTTCTCATCCTCCATTGTGCATGGAAGTATTTAGAGTTTGTATCTCCACTAGTAATCCAGGTTGCCCTTGATTTTTGCCTTAGGACCTGTTCTTCTATACTGCCCTACTTCTCCCAATCAAGTAAAATTTGTCTTTCTTTTTCAATAAGGAGTTGATATTGTGGTTGGTGCTTGAGATTTGCTTGTGTTACTTCTAGTTCCTCTCTCAGCTGCTCAAGCTTTTGTTTATATGATGCCATATAGGCTGTCGATTCCTTTAAGTTGTGCTTTAGAAGTTGTAGCTTTCTCCATACTTGATGTATAGGGTCTCCCCTCACTATCAACTGCCATGTATCCTCAACCTTTTTTCCAAATTCAGGATGGTGTAGCACATTTGAGAAGAGCTCAAAAGGTCTGGGTGCAGCTGAATCCTTGCTCCACAGTGGATCAGAATTGGGGAGTGGTATGATACTGAAGGATTTATGTAGTCAGCTTCAATATGACCATATTTCTGCAACCAGTGATAGTTCCCAAATGCCCAGTCAATTTTGTTGTACACCCTACTAGTGCCTTGCTGCTTGTTGCACCATGTGAAATGCCAGCCAATTGCCTTTAGTAGACTCAGTTGCAAGGTATCAGTACAGTGTTGGAAGTCCTGTATCTCCTATTGAGTTACAGGTGCTCCAATCCTGTCTTCAGTAGATAACACATTGTTGAAATCTCCACATATGAGCCAAGGAGTCTCGATCTGGCTCCCAATAAATCTCAGTTCATTCCACAAAGCATCTCTTTGTTGAAGGTCATTCTTCGCATATACTATAGTTAGATGAGTGAAGAAACTAGTAGTAGTCTCCTCTACTGTGCAATGGATTAGCTGTTCAGCTATGCTAATAATCTGAACCTTGAGGTGCCTCTTCAGTAGTAACCATATCCTCCCATTCACTGCATTTGGGTAGTTGCAACATGCTTCCCAATCAGGTACTATTTTCTTCAATATTTATTTGGATTTTGGTTCTTTAACTCAAGTCTCAATGCATCCAATGAGATCTATTTTATTCTTATTCAAAAAGAGCTTCAACTCTTTTTGTTTGAAGGCCTTGTTCAGCCCTCTAATGTTCCATGTTGCTATAATCATGGGGGCTTACGCCCATTCTCCTCAGATTTGGAAGCTGTAGTCTCCAGGGCAAAGTTCCTATTTGTGGTGGCTACTCTAACCTCGCTATTGCTTCTTTCATTTCTATTCATTTGATTACTTGTCTCAAACTGTCTCTTATCTTGATCAACTTGAGATAGCATCTGATTTGTAGTAGTAATCTCCTTTTCCTTCCCAGTAGGAGATTGGTTAACGGTGTCAATTTGAGTCTCATTTGTTGTTTCAGCAACTGCTTTAACTTGCCATTCAATTTTCTACAAGTTTCTTTTGTTGCTTCGTTTCCTCCTCCTCTTAGGCTCTTTGAATTTCTCCTCTTCTTTATGTTCATGCTTCCAATAATTGTATTTTACATGACCAAATCTCATACATTCAATACAAAACTTTGCCTCCAGTTGTATCCCACAGGTTGATATAATATTCTTGTTGGCGTGTCAAAGTCTAGACAATCTAGAAAATGTTGGGAGATGTCTATCTCAACCAAGACCCTTGCGTATGATATTTTCTCCATGCTTGTTGTGTAATTATTAGTGTGCAGCAGTTTACCCACATCACTAGCCACCTTGTTTAAAGATTCAATTGACCAATAACCTACGGGCAATCCAGGAAAAGTCTCCCACAGGGGAATTTTTGTAATGCACTCGAAGTTAAAAGTGAAGTCAATTTTCCAATTCTGAATGATGAATGGTTTGTTGTGGTAAGTATAATGTCCATATTGTAGCAGAAGCTCACATTCCTCAATGGTATTGAACTTAAAGATGTAATATCCTTCATCATGTATCATAATTCGTGGTTTGGAGACAACCCCATACATTTGTCACATGATTCTCCATTGAGTTCATGTACGGAGTATCCCCGATCACGTACCCAATTAGAGTAGTCTTCCAATAGCTCTCTTGAGCTTTAATGTCATTTTCCTCAATTTTAACAGTGATTTTCCCATCCCTAGTAATTGGTGGAACATAGGTGAGAGCCTTACCAATTTGAGTGCTCCGATTGTTCCTTCCTTCATCCATAGGGGTTGACTGTTCAGAGGCTGTTGCTACAGAGAATTGGAGTCAGCGAGCTGCTAATTCCTCCTTTATGCTTGTAGAAATCCCTTTTGTTTGTTCATCACGTACTTCGTCAACTGGGATCTTAGATTCCTCAATTTCTTCCGCAATCGTTAACATTGGAGGAAGAAAGCTTCCAAATGTTATTGTGCTCTTTGAGTTTGGTTCTCCATTACTGGTGTTGCCAAAACTTCCAGTTATATTTGCGCCGAAATAGTATTTTTCTGCCGTCGGGGTATTGTTCTTGGTGTACGTTAGCAAATCCAGCTAAACGTGCGCCGAGAGCATTCCCATTACCATCCAAATTTGTCAAATTTTGATTAATCTTTTTGCAAATTTTCTTGTATCTTAAAGGTAAGAATCAATGAACTCAAACTTACAAACATTAGTTTTCCTTTCAAATACATTTCCTAAGATGTCTGTCCACACTGCAACTTTTGCAAACACCAGAGGAACTGTGATGACTTGAAAGGTCATCTCTAAATTTAATATTCATTCTTGTGCTCTGAGACCTCGAGTAGCACCATTCATCTTTCATCGACTTGCGTGCGCAGTCCGTATATTTTTTTGGGAAGCTTTTATGTGAAAAATCGATAAAAATGTGAATTTGCACTTTAAAACTCACATAAATTAACTTCGATCAATATTTTGAGTAAACGGATCCGAATCAGTGTTTTGACGGTCCTGGTGGATTCGTATGGTAATTTTTAGACTTAGGAGTGTTTCCAAAAAATTATTTCAAGGTCCACAGTAAAATTAGGCTTGAAATGGCTAAAATAAAAATTTTAGCTTGGATGTTTGACTGGGGAGTTGACTTTTGATATCAGGGTCAGAATTCTGGAAATTTGAATAGGTCCGTTATGTCATTTATGACTTGTGTGCAAAATTTGAGGTTAATCGGACTTAATTTGATAGGTTCGGCATCGAATGTAAAAGTTAAAAATTCTTAAGTTTCCTTAAGCTTGAATTGGGGTATGATTCATAGTTTTAGCGTTGTTGATGTAATATGAGATTTCGACAAATTTCTTATGATGTTTTAGGACTTGTTGGTGTATTTGGTTGAGGTTTCGAGGGCCTCGGATGAGTTTCGGATGTTTAACAGAATGAATTTTGGATTTGGAACCTTGCTGGAAATTTTCTGGTGCAGTGTCTGGTTTCCTTCATCGTGTTCGCTAGAGGGGTTTCACGTTCACGAAGAGGAATTGGAGGTAGGCAAAATT